CCTTTTTTACCCTGTCCCCGGTCTTTTCGTGTAACTCCCCCTCCGTAACTGTAACAAGCCTGTATCACCGCTCCAACTCCTCCTCAAAGCCTCACTCTGCCCCTCCTGTACCTCCTCATTACAACTTACTGTTTATGGGGCAGGTGATTCATGGACACCATTCTTCCCATTCCCCCGGGGGAGCCACCACCACTTCACTCCACAGCGACCCCCCCCTCCTCCTTGCACCCGTTCTTTTTTAGGCATTGGTGCTCAGCGCAGGGTGCCCGCCCCTTTTCCGCTAGGAGCCACGTTTAGGGCCAGGGGATCTGGACCCACTTTTTTTCCGATTCCCTGAGGGGCCACTACCTCCCTTCCACTCACAAACGACCACGCCCCCCTCCTTCCCCCGTTCTTCCCCTTTGGCTTGGGGGCTCATGCCAGGCTCCGCCCCCTTCCGGCCCAGGGCCAACCCCGCTGCCACAGTCTGCCGCCATAGGTCAAATTCGCCACACAGTCGGCACTACGCCCTGCCCCCCAAAGCTACCATTACTGGGTTCTAAAACCCCCTTTGAGATAACATACGAGGTAAGGGGCCTAAACGTCACTTGAGATTTAAAAAAACCCCCAGGGAAAAACCGGTAAGCACCTTTTAAAACCCTTTGCCAGGTTGGGCCCAATGTACAGTTTTCCCTAACTTCGAAAACATTTCGAAATCACCCTCACACCTCAAAAGGCACGTTGGGACTTTAACCCACGAATATGTCGTGAGACATCAAAAACCCAACTTGACCCTCACTGCCGGTGTTACAGTAATGCGACGTCTTGGGAACGATCAAACCAAGCCCGTAAACTTAGCATTAGCACTTTCACGAAAATTCTATATACAAAACCCTCATGCCACCCATAAAATCCTCGCTCTGATCCATATGTCCTCGTAAATTTTGGGGAATACACATCGACGACTAGGTGTTAAACCCATAATAATTCAATGCCCACAGTATTCACCCCTGCGAACACCTGGGGCCATGTCGTTGACTGTTAGCTCGTCTGGGGGAAAATAAGGGGGCAAAGCACTCCGCACACTACCCCACCCGCGCGAATGCACAACACCTCCCGTACCACTGCTGTCAGGTTTCTGAGGGGCGTCAGGGAAGGGGGGCTTCCCCGGCCCAAAAGCGATGCAACAATCCAACTCTATATCTAGTCCAAATTTAAATTTTATTTAGGGCTGACCTGGGGGTTCGATTCCCACCAAGTACAAACATTGGATTGTTTTTTTTAAACCGTTGCTATTTCCCCATCTAAAATGGGTACCTGGGGGTTTTTCGATGGTGTGGGGGCGCATCCTGGGGCACCGACCTAATTTGCCCGAAAGCCGGGGCATAACAAGGGAACCCTATGTATATATGTCTTGTTATCAGCTAGACTGTATACCCTGTGATTCTTGAGAAAAAAAAAGATATTATTAATTATTATTTTTACCATCTGCAGCTCTAAGACTGCCCTCCCCAAATCCCCTTTGGGTGGGGCAGATGGGAGACCAACCTACATCTCCCTTTACCCCTTTAGGGGGAAGGACTGTGGCTAGGCCCGGATAAGATAAGATAAAAAAGATTTTGTTGGATTTTTTAAACCCCGGGGGAAATTTCCACCCGGGTAACCCAAGAAGTCAGTGCTCTCGAGGGCTGCAACTTATTTCCATTTTGGGGGCCTTAACTTGCCCCCAGATGCGACCCCAACCTCGACTAACACCCAGGGACCTATTTCTCTAGGGGGAAAAGGGCAACATGTAAAAACGTGGAATGTTTCCACCCCCGGGGAAACGAACCCCGGGGGCCCTGTGGTAAGGGGAGCTTTAGCCACCAGGCCACCGGGCTGGGGACAGTTGATCCCACAGATGAGGGACTTGTACCTCCTCCCCGGGGGACTTTGGGTTTAAGACACTCCCCAGATAGGGAGCCAGGGCCCGGGGCACCATACTTGAAAAGACCCGGGGCCCGGGGGGAAAACCGGGAATAGATCGACACCAGCCCAACCCTTCTAGGGAGGGGGGGGGCCTAGCCCACCTTTAGCTCATAAGCTGCATTCCCATTTGCCCCTTGGGCGGGATGGGAGACCAGAAGGGCCCACGTGGCTAGCCTGGGACAGTTGGTCCCCAAAAATGAGGAGGACTTGGCCTCCTCCCAATGGAGACTTAGGTCTCGCACTCCCAAAGAGGGGGCCAAGGGGCCGGGCCACCACTTGACAAGGGCCCGGGCCGGGAGTACCGCTAATCTTAACTAAAAATACCGTAAAAAAAAAAAAAATTCGTTGAAGTCTATTTTTTTTCTTTAAATCTTTTGAAAAACAAAGCGATTTAAATAACTTCCCACCATTCATAAGTAAAAAAGCATAAAGTTCGTCACCCATTTTTTAAACAATGTTTAACACATCGAAAAACCCCTAACCCTTCAGGGAGGGTAGGTGCCTGAAACCGACCCTTTTTACCATGCCCTGTCATTCCCTTTTGCCCCTGGGGCGGGGAGGCAGACCAAAAGGGGCCTAGCTTGTGCTGGCCTGGGGACAGTTGGCCCCAAAGATAAGGGGGGTTTTGGCCTCCTCCCATGGAGACTTAGTCTCGGACACCCCCTAAAAGGGAGCCAAGGCCGGGCCCCCACTTGGAAAAGGCCCGGGCCGGAGAAACCGGCTAATTTTTAATAATAAAAATAAAAAATAATGTTTAACACACAACACCATGCCTAACCCTTCTAGGTGGGGAGGTCCTGACCCTACCCTTGCTCAAAAGACGTCTTCCCTTTGCCCCCTTTGGGGGCGGGGAGGGAAACCCAAAAGGGGCCTAGCTTGTGGCTGGGCCCGGGGGGACTTTTTGGGCCAAATGAAACCCCCCCCCCTGAAAACCGGGCTAAATAGGAACTTTAAAATTTTTAAAAAAAAAATTTTAACTAATCTTTTGAGTCCTAAACCCCTTCACGCCAAAACTCAAGCCCGAAAGGGGTTACCCCGATCCTAAAAGGAGGTTTAAGATAGGTTTTTTTTGCAGAGTTCAGTGCATATTTTATCTCCTCGGGTGAGACATTATCTTTGAGAGACATTTGAGTTCCTCAGAGTAGGGATCTGAGCACCCAAGGATAAAAAATAACAAAAAGGGACAATACCGTGACGAACATACACAAAAACCCCACAAAAAAGACAGAAGCTTACACGACGTTTGGTCCGACTTGGACCTTGACAAAGTCACACAACAGAGGAGGAAGGACGGCTATATAAAGGCAGGAAGAGGGGGGTTAGTATGTAATAGTAGTAAATAGTAGTACAAGAATTGTATAAATCCCGACAGGATAAAAATGACACAGCACAACACCCGGGCCCCCACCAGACGTTTCGCCATCCCCAGCACGGGAGGCAAAACGTCCACAACAAAGACAACCAACGCCGCACTTTCTTTTTCATCAGAGAAGTAGTAAAGAAGAAGGGGTGTAGTAGTGTAGGGGTAAAGTGGAAAAAAGGGAAAGACGACCAGTCAAAACAAAGGAAGGGGGAGCACTGCAAGAGAGCTAGAAACCCACAGAGGAGAGAAAGCGCCCGGGGGTGAAGGGGGGAAGGTTGGCATGTGCTTTTCATCCTGTCGGTATTATAACAATTCTTGTCTACTACTACTACTACACTACCACTACTACTACCCCACCTTTTCCTGCCTATAATACCCCCCCTTTCCTCCTCCTCCTCTTTTTAGTTTATTTTGTCAAGGGCCCCAATCGGACCGAAACGTCCGTCAAAGCTTCTGCTTTTATGGGGGGTTATTTGTGTATCCCCAAGGACCCAAACCTACAACAGTTACTAACCCGGGTACACTTTTACTGTGGGTGGCGGGGCAACGGTGTAAGATTCCTACAATACTGTACAAGGTAACAGCCTACGACTCAATGACATACTACTATACAAAAGCCATTGTTTGAAGAGCATTTGGGGAAATTTAGGTTAGTTTTGCCCCAGAATGTGCCCCAAGCCAGTTGAAACACCCGGACCCCTTTTACGAATGAGCATTAATAACCAATAAACACCAAAAGTTTCTACTCTCGCTGAAAATCAAAACCCCGCCCTCGCGGGGTAAAGCAAAACTTCAGCTGCCTGGCGATGGAACGCCATCCTCGAGATGCACGGCATTAATAACAATAAAAAAATTAAATTTTCACAATACAAAGAACAAACCCTCACTTTAAACGACCTCACGACGCTAATAGTAAACCTCAGGTTTTGCAAATCTTTATGGGCAATTAGGTTTAATCTGTACCCGGAGCGACCCACACAATTTCTAATACCCCAGGGATCTACTTGCAGCTATTTGAACAGGACGCAGGTGTAAGAAAAGATCCCAATGTTTCCACCCACTCGAGGATTGAACCATGGACACCAATGTTTTTAGCGAATACGATACCAACCGGCACAGTAAACCGGAAACCCGGGGTAAATTCCAAAAACTATCTTCAAAGTATCATTAAGAGAAATTCCTCGAAGCAAAAACGTTGTTACTTAATATTGGGGGTTTTAAGCGCCTGGGGGAAAAGGAAGCATTACTCTACCTAATTAGGAAAAGATAGATCCCTAACTTACATCAAAAGCCCTTCACCGCATCAAGGAAACTCCTTTAAGAACATTACAACATAGAATTTTTTTAGTAAAGAAACCACTTCAACTTGGTTAAACCCCCTAACACTGTGTTTTTTTCTGCTGAATCCCCACAAACACCATAATGGAGGGGCATTAAGCGGGAGACCCCTTTGATCCTCCCACCCCCGCGAAAAAAAAATTGGGCCCCCATCCCCTGGGGGAATGCATTCCTTCCAAAGGCGCATAACCTCTTAGGGGTTTTATTTCACAATGATTTTAAAACCCAATTATTAATTAGAAATTATTCCCCAATAAGAAACTTGGGGGTTTAATATTCAAACTAAGTAAACAAGGGGATATATTTCTATAAGACAAAGAAAAAAAACCATAACAAATTCAAAATTGGATATTGGGGGATAGCGCGAACGCAGCCCCCCTGCAAAACCAAAAATTTCGCACTCGGAGTTAACCCCATTTGGGTTAATCGCGGGGGTCAGCACCACCGAGTGCAATGGGGAGCCTCGCCCGGGGAAAACCGCCTTCGTGATCACGGGATCTCCTGTGCCGGTAAGTATGATCTTTAGGCCTCCACTGCTTTCCCACCGCGGATGCGCCACAGCTTTTTCACAAACCATTTTACCGGAGTTTCCCGAGAGAGTTCCGGGGGTCAACGCCCCCCGGCCCGGGCTGAACCACCCCCTGGGGTAACCTGATCAACCAGGCGTTGCGCTGGGGCACCAAAACCCAAAAACGGCCACAGCCCGGGTGACCGGAAATACTTTAGGGGCTTGTCCATGCCCTTTTAAAACTGCCAGGGGGCTTTGGGAACCCCCTATGTTGCTGGGGGGCATTAACAGTCTCGGCCCCTGACACTTTTTGTATGGTCTCTTTTAAAGTGCAGTGACACCCCCGCTTTTTATTGGGGGGGGTGGTGCATGCTGCCAAATCTTTGCTTTTTAGGGTGATTCGTGTGCAAGTTCGGGACATCCCCCCTAGGATTTTTCCCGGGGTAAATAATCATTATCTCCCCTCCTGCGTTCCAGGAAACAGGGTTTTGGGAAACCCCAACGCTCCCAATAATTGAGGTGTTTTATCCCGTTAGCGCCCCCGAAAGTTCTCGTACTTTCAGGTCGGGGGAATTTCACCTCCTTTAAAGGCGTTTTGTGAGCAATATTTCCCCCAATAGAACAAGTGACCTGAAGAGTGTCATCATGGGCTTGGCCTCCCTATTTTGAAGGTTCTCATTATCCATCCTGTCTTTTTCAGCAGATGCGATTGAT